CAGTGACTTGAGCTTTAATAAAATTCTCACAATCGAACAGAAGTCCCTTATGAACTTGCCATCACTCAAGGTTTTGTAAGTAAAGAAATTTCCCGCTGTTTTCATATTTCAAATTTCTTCCATTTATTTACCTCACTCGTGTCTTTTTCAAGGCGACTGAACAGAAACTACATCAAGAAACTCGAAGAGGACATGTGGGTCGACACAAGACATCTACAAAGCATGTATGAAGATATGTACCATAAAACCTCAATACATCCTCAAACATGATTGGATGATTCAACATGGATAGTTGTATCGCATTACGCATGCTCTGTTCTCCTCTCGATCCCACATTGCTGATTGCTTTTCTCGTACTTATATTTCAGAGATATTGGCGAAAACTTGATATCTTCTATTGCAAGAAATGCATTCTCGAATTTTAATAACTTGTCTTTGCTGTAAGTATACAACCTCGTTCCCAGGGCCTTGACCCCAAGCGAAGGGATGAGGCACTGGGAACGAGGTTGGTTAGTATACAAATCTGATTTGCTTTAATAAGTCATTCTGTGAGAACCTCGATAATTACAGGTGAGGGAGGAATCGTAGATTGGAAATTATTGATTAGGAATAGGAAGAAAAACTATTTCCAAAGGAATAGACTTCCGACAAATGAGACGATAATTCTCACCAGAATGTGTTATCTTTAACCTTCTATATCTCGCCAAGTAGGCAGCCGTTCATAGCCCGAAGAAGATTGAGGTGGAGAAGGGCGGATAATTATATCCCAAGAGCTTAAAATAGTCTCTCTCTCTCTCTCTCTTTTTCAGGAGCCTTCGAAGTAACTCAATCGAAGAACTCGATGTGGACGTTTTTCAAAATAACACAAATCTTACTTACCTGTGAGTATTATCGCAGATTTTTGTATGAATGGGAAACCAACCATACTACGATACTGCTACGAAACACTACGATGCTATCACGACCTGACTACTATTGTTACGAAGCATTACGACACAGCTACGAAATACTACGATGCGGTCACGAAATACTACGAAAGTGTTACGACAAGAGTTTCCAATCCTTGGATTGTAGACACAGT